ATCCTTGCTGTAATTAAAGTAGAAAAAATGAAAATGTGCATTCTTTAAGAGATGAGTGTTGGATGGGTGTTGACCCAGCAGAACTCATTAAAAATGAGAGAAAAACTCACAGATAAAGATTCTAAAAATGGTGATGTTTTGTGTGAGAACAAATGCATGGGTAGATTCATTTCCACCATGCTCCTTCCTTTGGTTCTTTCAAGTCCTGCCTAGAGAAAATATGCTGGTCAAAGAATAATTAATATCTAAGGTCTTTAAGATAATTAATAACTAAGGTCTTTTGTGAAATAAGAGTAGTGTTGACTTCAAAATAGGTGTTTTACTTAATTAGTGACATACAGGAGAAACTGCACAAAAGGGAAGAGTTAACAACGAATAAAAATAATTCTTTCTGCTGCTCATCTTTCCTCATCCTGAACCATAGAGCTGTTACAAATTTGGTGAGATAAAGAGGTGAAATGTATGACTTCAGGAGCCATTCACTTCTCTCATAGCTTCATAATGTAGGGATTTACCTGCTGTTTACAACCAAAGACCCTTAAAGTTCTTAAGTCTTCTCTGGAAGTGTTTCCTCGAAAGATAAGCTGTTCCCAATACTGGTCCAAAGGGACAGGTGACAGTTTGTTCCTGGGTTTCATCTTGGTGGGTGAAAAGCTGGACTGTTTGTACCTGTTCTTCCTGGGCAGAGACCTTGTAAGGCATCGTGCAGTGCTATCCCACCTGCCCCAGCTGGCCTTAGGAAGGGTTTATTGTTGCAAAAACGTGGTTGAAAGGCAAGTGGAAAAGGCAGCTGCCTGTTGTGGCAGACTGTGGGGAGCAGTGACAAACTGCCTGATATGGCCTGATATCCCTGTGGGATGAGGACTGCAAGTTGAATATGTGCTCTGACATGATCACTGCTAGGAAAAGATTCCATAGGTACTCAGCAGTGTCTGCTTGTCTGTCTCCAGGCCTGGGAGAGTGGTTCCCAAGCCCGAGGCGGATGTCCAGGAGCGCTGTGTGCACAGAGCTGACGTCCTGAGAATGGAATTCGAAACGAACGGAGGAGCGCGGGAATGTTTTGTGAGTCTCTTCTGTTATTTACCCTTCCAAATATTTTCTAGGCTTTGGGCTCCATATCATCCCTCTATGTTTCTTGCATGACTCATTCACACTTTTCTTCTAAAATACAACTCCCAGAGGGGACAGTGATGGGTGATGTCAGTGGTGCTGTGTTTGGGTTACCTTCCTGAGAGGTGTCTTCTCATCGAGAAGGGATCCAAATATGCATCTGAAAACCAGACACTTCCCTGTGCATGCCCATCTCGGCCTTTTGGTTATAAATGACCAAGTTTGCTGTCAGGGTGAGGGAGGTGGCCTCTCTAATCAAACCCACGAAGTGAGCCCAGCCATAAAAGCCCCCCACTGGTATATAGGCAGTTGCAGGGTGTTATATAGAATATAATGTTAACAATGAAAACATCTAGGCATTGCTGAAATCACGCATTTCACGTCAGTCATGGTTAGGGCACTAATTGCCTTTGGAGGTTTTTGACCTAAAGATGTGATGTGCTACTTTTGGGGGATATATGTGAAGGAATGAGTTCATGTCTTCTACACTTTAGTCTAATAAAATTTTACCTAAATCATCTTTCCCTCTATCAAGGAATAGGAGACAGGTGCTCTAGTTACTAATTCTGCCATGGTTTCAGACCTGCTGCTCTTATATTGAGTTTCTGCATTTGCAGTAAAGTTGGGTACTACTTTGCTCTCAGAGGAAACTTATTTTTAGCTTTAAAACATCCAAGATAATTCCTGTTTCATTGGGGTGCTTTGTTTTGTAGTTTTTTTTTTTTTTTTTTTTTTTTTTTAAAGCTACTTTTGTAGAGCTTGAATGATTATGTTCAGGAAAAGTTAGTAGAGCAGAGAGTAGAAATGTAGTAATTGATACAGAAAGAATTTAAAGGAAGAAGCATGAGCAAAAGCCTGGAGGAGGATTTGTGTGGCTCCAGTCAGCTTTCAGTTCTCAATGTCTGCTCACCTGCAGTATTATGTGGAATATTTTATTCAATTCTGTGGAGGCCTAAACTGAGTAACAGAATTACAGTTAGTATAATAGTTATATTATATATATGTAGTTATAAATAAATATAGTTATAACTACGGTTAACTGAGTAACAAAATAAAAAGGGAAATGTTCTGGAGGGGTTGATTTTTAGACAAGTAAAACCAGGGTATATGTATTTAAAAAACACAAACAAATAAATAAAACCAAACCAAAACAAAAACTGAGAGGTTTGGGTGGATTTTTTTTTTGTTTGTTTTGTTTCCAGTGGTATGGAAATATATCTGGGAAACCAAGAAAGTAACTTTCTGGAATGATCTTTCCAAAGAAAGAGCCCCATGAACAATTATGATGAAAGTTGAAGGCTGTGCAATGGCAGTTCCCCCACTGATGATCCCATAAGGTGAAACGGTTCCCTTTGTTCCATTCTTGGCCACGTGGCTCTGGAAAAGTGGGAAGCAGCTTCTGTTCAGAATGCTGGCATTGAAGACAAGAATCTGCTTTCTGTTACAAAAGGGAGACAAAGAGACAAATAGCAGTGTTCACTTTCTCATTCCTGAATAGGAAGTTCAACAACAAAATGAGGAGTTTGATGCTGGAATGGTTTTGTTTGGGATTCTCTTCCTCCCAAATTAATATAAAAGACAAGCTGTAGTTCAGAAAGGCAACAACATTTGAGAACTCTGATTTTCCATTACTTAATGTAACAACGAAGTGCTGCTTTTGGCTTTGCCAAAACTTTGATGGAAAAAAACCCAAACAACCGAAGCTGCATGTTTAGACTTAATGTAAAAGTCTGCTGCAGCTACAAGTAACACCTAATTCGGGGTTTAAAGATGTGCAATGTGCATGCAGATAAGAAAGGGACTGGGAGGGAAAGGACCAAGACCCTCAGCAAAATTAAGCTGTTGCTTGTGATTGCTGGGTTTGACGACAGGAAGAGGCAGAAGTGGCTTCTCCCTGAAGCCGTCCAAGCTGTCCCCTGATTCTTTCCCTGCCTTTTGCAAGGGCAGCCATCCATATAAGGCAGCCCAAAGGGAGGGACCCGGCTTTCCTTAGGGTGGAACTTGATAAGTTGGGGGCAGAGCCAGGCAGCAGCTCCTCTCCCTGCACCTATCCCGGGAGTCCGCTGAATGGAGCTGAGGCAGGAGCCGGGAGGAGGGATAGGACACGCGACAGGAGAAAGTAGGTGCTGTTTGCCGGCTGGTTTCTTTGTTGGGTGCCTGGGGGGTGCCTTGTTTTGATTAGCCCGGCTAGCAGAGGTGTTACAGGTAGCTTTGGTTGCCGCTGCTGGGTAGGCAGCTTTTGCTACATCCACTTGTCCAGGCAGCCTCAGCGTCCTGAAGTGATGAACGTACTTCTCGTGGGTATTTCTTATGTACTTGTTGTGGGTTATAGGCTTGGGTGAAGGGCTTTGTGTTTAACTTTAACGTTTGGCTCCTCCATCCTTTGTTTTTAAGAAAACTGATGAGTATTTTTAAGAAAACGGATGTATTTCTCTATCTGCTACAGGACTAATGTAGAAATGTGAGCTGATGTTTGCCTTGCCATGAGCAGTGTTAAGAAATGAGCAGAGTGTAGCAAATCATGTTAAAATGTATAGATGTAAATATTTTTTGGGATAACCTGGAGGGCTCTGTTTGAATGATAGCTCATGCAATACACGTGAGGATCTTTAAGCAACAGCAAAAAATAAGCTTCATTTAAAAAGAGGGGGTGAAGGCTGAAATTCTCTCTCTCCAAGATACTCTATTTTGCTGAAGCTGAAATAACTCAAAATGTGGATGTGAGTGTCTTCTGACAGAGGGGCAGTCAGCTGCAACTCCTTAACATGTGGGATTTATACTGCAGATAACACAGTACGTTATAATATGACATTATAGATGTAATTTTGATGTTAACATCAGCAGTGCATTAAAGTTAAAGTCACCTCTCATGATACAGTTAATATTCTCATCTTTTCGTAATGCTTTCATATTGTGATTTCAGCCAGGTGTTTCAGATGAGGGAGCTTTTCATGGTGGTGTGTAAGAAGTAAGACAATACAAAACACAGCTGCTCTCAATCTACCAAAATTACTAATATTGCTGCTAAGAAATTGCTGCTGAGTCTTAGCAGCAGTTGAAGTCTGCCATATGAAATATATGTTGATCTAGAAAAACCTTATTGTGTATTCTGCTTTTTCTAGGTACTTGTTTAAGAATAGCAACAAACATTAAATGGCCTGAGGAAACTTGAAAATGGGACCAGGAGTCCTTGATCTTTTTCTTTCTAGCAATATTAACCTCTTGATATCAGCTATCATTAATTACATCGTCCTTTTTACACTTGACTAAAATGTTCCAGAGTACCATGGTCTGAGAGATGAGATCCCATGAGGTGACTGAAATAATTTATTCAAGTCCTAAAACCTTAAGACCTCTTGAGGTGTAGGTGTTGAAGTTCAAACCTCAGCCAGGTGTGTTTTTTGGGCAACAGCAAGTTTATGAATTCCAGGAAATCTTCACAGTTCCATCTCTAATCGGGACACTGTAAGAACTACTCAGCTTAAAACAATCTCATAGGATCAGGTCTGAAGACAGCTCTGTTGCTCTAGGAGTGTTGCATTATTTAAATAGTTTTAAGGCTCTTTCTTAACGACGTAACTTTGAATCTTAATTTTCTTTCTTCCTTCCTCCAGAGTGTTTCAACCTCTTTCATTTCCCGGACTCTTGTTACGTCTGGTGTCTAGCACGTGCAGTTTTCCTGATCCATTTTCCTGATTTAATTCCAGGGGCTGTGAGTGACAGCAGGTGACAGGCTGACAGCTCACACTCGTGTCACAGTGAAGCTCTGCGATAACAGCACAAAGTCATCGGCTGCCGGAGAGCACACACCGGACGGGGAGGACACCCAATACCTTCCTCATGATTTTAAATATTGATCAGAGTCAGTAATACCCGTGCATTGTTCCAGGATGTCCTGTGACAGTGGAGAAATTGTCGGGTACCCCTGTGGAGAGCAGCAAGGCTCCACTTTTCAGCTGAGCAGCCTGAACGGAAATGGGAAATCTGCGGCGTTGCTGGAAGTCAGGGGGAATTTAAGCAACATGCAGTACTCTCCTGTGGCACTGGATGCAGAACCAGTGAATAATGGCTCTGGGATCCCCCAGGAGCCCCAGGAGGGCACCAGGGCTGCAGCCTTGGCAGAAGGTGAGGCCGGCAGGGCCCGCACACCGGGCTGTTTCCACAGCCGCTACTTGACCGCAACCAGCACCCAGGGAGATGTCTACAACTTCCTGGAGAGGCCCAGCGGGTGGAAGTGCTTCCTCTATCATTTTGCTGTGTAAGTACCCGCGTTTTTGCACGTGATCTTTTGGTGCACTTGAGGTCCTGGGCTGGAAACCCATTGCACGAGTAATCCCGCTGCGAGCGATGGAAAAGCCGGTTCCTCAAAGAGTCAGTGACTGTACCCATTAACATTTCCATTTTGAAATGGTATTTGTTTTCAAATACGTGCTCTGTGTGTTTGGTATCTCTGAGGGTAAGTCCTGTATGCCCATGGCAGTGTCTGCTGCTGATTTAGCTGCTTCACATTGTTGTCGCTTCGGACGCTGCAATTTTTATATCATGAGATGTGGAAGGCTCAGCTGTCATCAGGTGCATCACACTTCCCTGAGTTTGTTTTGCTCGTGCTGAAGCGCCAAAACAAGTAATTTGATGGGCAAACATGCAGCCATAACGTTACTAATTTGAACTGATTTATGGTAAAGAACATGTAATGAGTACAAATTTAGCAAAATGTTTTTTGTTATACCATATATGTAATACAAGCAAGGAGAAAATTAGGACTTCCATTTACCCTTGTAAAACAGTGGTTGACACAGTAATACAGCTGTTACTGTTTTCTTTGAGTTGCTTATGGTATCTGTCAAGTTTAGCAAGACCTCAATTACTGTTTTGAATGCTGCTTAACAGAATGATAATTTGTCATCTCAGCTGTAGAAAGGGTCCAATTGTGCTCTCACTGAGGCCAGAGGAAGTTTTACTGGCTGGATTGAATGCAAACTGAGCCAAAAGGCCTTGCTTTTATTATAAAATTAGCATTTGTCCTAAAGAAATGCAGAGTGTTGAAATGATTCTGTTTGTCTCAGATGAACTTTTCTGTGGCCCGACTTAATTTTGGAAAAAAACATCAGTTACTGCTGTTAGGAACTGCTCAGAGAAATATATGGTAATTATAAGGATGAATCCTAATGCTTCTATTTGGCATAAAATAGATAGTTTTATTAGTACTTGCTTCCTTTCACCCCCTCAACATCATATAGGGATTTTTTCTTTTAAAAGGATTTTTTGATTCATTAAATTTCACCAAGTAAAAGGATAGATTCTCTTTTAAGGACTATGTTTAAAGTATATAATAGTTCTTAAGGATTAAACAGATGTAATTTGTGTAGATTTAAATATGCAAATAGTGATGATTTAAACTTATTTGAGGTTAGGATTTACTGATCTTGCTAAAATGCATTTGTTTCATCATCTGTGTTGCTTTTGTCTCTGACTTAAAGGTTGACCTTTAATATGCACTTTATATTCTGCAATAAGCATTAAAATAAAACAAAATATAACATTCTATACACCCTCTCCATACTAGAAAACTGGAGAAAATATTAGTATTACCAAGAGAAAGCTTTCTTTTCTTTTTAAGCAAGAATTACTAACTTAAATGAAAGAATATGTAATTTGACTGCTTTTAAAAGTTGGGGTTTTTTTGAGGTTGCTTGAAAGGAAACATTTGAGACATAGTTTTTGGCAAGAATTTTGTCTAAGGGATATTTATCCTAATAATTATCCCAATAACTACATGGTGTGCTCATCTATATAACAAGTTTCTGTTTTGGAAAGAACATGCTTTACAACACTAAATATTATTCAAGTGAAGCACTGTTAAAGAAATAAATCACGAGTCTAAAATACAATTAATTTTATAGTGAGAACAACCTGTGACTTATTTTTAAAAGGTTTCCCATGTTATACATGTGCATTTGGGGTAACTCACGTACAGCTGGTCTGATGATTGTGACTATTTTCATAACAAATCCAAACTTTCAAGCTGGTATTTGTGCAGCCTGGAGGAGCTGGATGTGCACTGTCCCTTCATTGTTGTTTTGGCCTTCGTGTGCCACAAAGACCACATAACTTATGTGCAAACTTGTGGGAACCTTCTGTCCCAGAGGGACTGGAGTCTGGTCTGATCTGGAGCCAGTTCTGCTGCAAAGAAGATAACTTTCCAAAACCAGGCAAAGCAAGTGCTCCAGGAGGTGACCTTCTCTCATTCTGAAATTACCAAAATTATCTCACCTCCTGTAACATTTGCAGTGTGTCTGATACTTGAAGTTTCTGTTAAGGGAATATATTAGAGTATAACTCTCATATTTTATCTCTTGAGTGAAAAATACAGTGTGTGTGATAATGAAGGTTCTTGGCAAATCTACACATTTAAATCATTTGATTGCAAATTGAGTCTTATTTATTTGATGAATTTATGTTTCTGAAACGTTTATACATTTAATTACTACTGGAATGGCTAGAATATTGTGTTCATTTGGCTAAATAAATGTAAACTAAGTGGTGAGGGGTGAAGTCAATTTTCATGATAATAAGACTATTGCCCCTTGTTCAGACACCAGGTAGGAATGATCATAAACCAAAACCAGAATCCAGTGTAGGTCCTCAAAGTGCTAGAATGGCAGGGCAGCATTTCCCACCACAATTCCAAGTCTTTGTGGGTCACATTGGCCATAGATAAAGGGTGGAGAAGACAGTCTGAGTATTCCATGTGGTGAAACATGGACAGAGGAGAACGTGGGACAGAGAAGGCTGGATTGGTTTGTTGTAGAAGCTGAGACTGGTGCCAGTGATGCTGAAACTCCAGGAAAAGCAATACAAGAGCAGTCTAGCTCAAGGGCAAAGAGAATCTGATTTAAGCAGGAAGGATGAAGGAAAAAGGACTAGCAGGTTTTGGATATAGGCTGAAAGAGCTGGAACTGTGGGACAGCTGAAAATGGTCAAGCAGCTCAGAGAGCCATTGGGAGGATGAAGGGGCAGGAGATGACAGCTGGAAGCCAGGGAAAAGAGGGAGCGTGGAATTCACGATGGGACAAGGGACCTTTCACCCCGAGGCAACTGGTTTGAATCTTGTCCAAGACAACAGTGAAGAAGTGGCAATGACTGTGGGGAGATACAAAAGGAGCTGTTGGTCTCAGTCCAGTTCTTAGCAAATGGATGTCAGCATCACTGCTGGAGTCAGCACAGCTGGAAGGGTTCCTGGCAGGCCCCAGAGAAAACACGGGCTGGTTGAAAAGGGAGGCAAGTGGAAGTCAAGGGGGAGGCCCACGGGAGGGACCCTTAGGTTGCATTCTGAGGCCTGCCATTTTCTTGCTATGTAACACTGTGGAAGTTTAAGGGAGAACTTGCAGCTGTTCCAGGTTACTTCATGCTGGTCTGGCCACTTCTTAAATGAGCATTAGACCTTGCACTCATTTAAAAGTTAGACAAGCCTTTGTGTCCCATATTTTCCTGTGGGATGAGGTGAGCTGATCTAGCAGCTCATTGCTAACAAGCCACCTCCAGTTCTGCTCCCCTCATCCACCGTCACCGCTCAGCTTCCTCCTGCCAGCTCTGGTTGTCCTTGGTTATATTTGGAGAGTCAGTTCAACTTACTACACCAGCAGAAACGTAGGCCACTGTGGGAGAAAGTGGATGGTCTTCTGTGAGGTCAGTAATCACATTCAGCACCTTGAAGTTCTGTCCACTATTGTTCTCTTAGTGCTCCAAGTGGATCATAATCACCTGTTGGATTTCCACGTGAAATTGTAAAGGGTAATTGTAAAGTAACATTGCGAATCGTCTGGCAAGTACTGCAGACCACCTGGTTGGACTGAAAAAAAAAAAAAAAACAAAAAACCCACCAAAACATTTCCTAGATGCAGAATTTGCCTAGCAACGAGGTCTGCTCTCCAGGCTGCCTGGTGATTTACAGGGAAACAACTCCTCCAAACGGTGGCTGAGAGGGAGTGATGGCTGTTACCCTGAATCATTCCTAGGGGATGCTGCCTGTCTCTCTGTTGACTGTGTGGCAAAGGCAGGGACTATGTCTGGCCTAGATTATGGTTTCACAAGAGCTGACATATTAGATTACCAACATCAACAGGGCCAGGTTCCCTCTCTCACCTTCTCTTCTGCAGAAGGTGTGCTGCTTCTGGCGCTCACTGTAGCCCTCCTGAGCTCAGTCACCTCACTGCAGTGGCAGAAGTGGAGTTCAGATAGAAAGGGGGTAGTTTTCGGTAGCTTTTTTGTAGCATGTCAGCAAGTGGTCTGATGGTGCTGCAACCAGTACTAACCAGTTGGCCAAGACTCAAGTGGACTGAGGGGAAGTTCTAACCTGTTGGCCAAGACTGCAAAAACTTCTTTCTCTCTTTTTTTTTTTTTTTTTTTTTTTTTTTTTTGGCACCAGGAGACCGTGGTATTGCCTCTGTTTTATATGAAAACATGCCCTAAGCTTACTTTGTTACCCTTTTTCCTCCTTCAGACTGACTCCCATGGCTTTTTCAAAGAGAACATGCACACACACCTACAAGTTCCTGTTGAAAAGAACTCAGGAATTATGGAATAATTCAGAGTGCACAATCCTTACAGAAATGTGAACAACGTCAATAACATCACTGACTTAAAACTTTGGGGGGGAAATTACAAAAGATCAAAAACCTGTTTATAAAATGGGGGCTGGCCAGCTAAGGGTTTTTTTTTCCTTTATAAAAGTTTCTGTGTGCCAGAGTCTGTGTCACCACGAGTAATAAAAACAAAACAAGCAAACAAAAAAAAGATAAATTCAGATTATTTGGGTAAATTACAAATTGCAAGGTTTTTTCATATTATTGTTTCTCTTCAAACTTTGCTTTCCGAGGTTTTTTTTACCTCCTCCAGTTTCATGTAAAAAATGCTGTAGCTTTGTTCTGTAAATGCAATTGAAGCAGTTAAGAACCACCATTCTGGCTGATACTCCATTTTTGTTTGGCATGCAGCTGCTGCTGACGTAAAGAACATCAAAAGGCAAGAAATGTAAGGATCTGATCCTTCCTTTTAATGACTGTGGGGCACTTGCCTGCATATATTTTGATTCTTTGAGTCTAGCAGCTCTCAGTTAGTGAACTAAATATATATAACAAGTAAGTCAGCATAGTGTTCTCCAGCTCCTGTTTTTATCTGTAAATGGAGCCTATAACCCATTATTTATAACTGTTTATCTCAGAGGGACTGTCGAATTCCCATTTCTGTCCTTTCCAC